AAAAGGGACCAGGTTTGCTCGTCTGATAGAGCCTGGTGAGATCCCCAAGACTGTGGCCTCTAGCTACCCCTTGGGTCTGGAACTGAACTCATTCCTGTGGCTTGCAGCCAAACAGTAACAGGCATGGGGTGAACATTTGCATCAGGTAGATACACTCCAGAAGGGCAGTGTTTGCACAGGGAGACAGCTGGGGGAGAGGGTGGACAGTGCATGGGAGGGAAGGACGCAGAGGAGAGGCAACTACGGGGAGGAAATGGGCAAAGAGGTATTACATCGTGGGGAGTTGTGGTCAGTGTCATAAAACAAAATGTGTATGAACTGTATGGAAAATGAATTTGCTCTAAACTTTCACCCAACTAAATAAATAAAAACAATAGAACTAAATAAAATACACAGTGAAACTAAAAAAACTAAAAACTAAAAACAAAAAAAAAAAAACCCCAAAAAAAATCTGGTGGCAGGTACCAGATTTTAGGGGTGTGTTCGAGTCTGTGCGTCAAGTCTGAGAAGTCTCTGGTCCCTACTAGAGTGTTCTGTCGGAGGCCAGGGCCAGAGAAGCATCTACTCAGGCTTTTCCCGGGCGGACGTCCAATACAGTTTCTTCCCCAGTCTTGGATGTTGCACCCCCCTCCTCTGGCTTGCATTTGGAGTTGCTCACGGTTCAGGTCATTCCGAGGGAGAGGTGGAGGATAAGCGCAAGGTGGGGCCATCACGCACCTCAGTAAGGGCCTGACTGTGAAGAATCCTTCAGTCTGTTACTTCTAACAAGGCAGCGGGTGCGGCCTCCACGTCCAGTGGGGAAGGATTAAAGATGTTGCCACTTTAGGCATAATCCTCTCCTGGGTGCTGTGTTGTGGAGCCCTCAAGTTAAGTAGGAAACACCCCCCACATTTACATTGTGCTTAGAAACCATCTAGTTCAGGGAATGGCAAACAGGCTTAGTCATGTCTGTCCAGAGTGCAGTATTGAGAAGGGCTTAGCTTTGGCATGGATCTGTGGGGAAAAGTGCTGTCATCATTAGTGATGTCTGCCACAGGTAGTAAGTGTATTTGTTATCTCTAATACTAGTTCAGCGTTGTTACTTTAGGAGCTCTGGTAGCATAGTGCCTAAGGCACTTGACTGCTAACCAGAAGGCTGGCGGTTCAAACCCGGCAGCCACTGCTCAGAAGGAAGGTTGGGCAATCTACTTCTGTAGTGATGCCACCTCGGAAACCCGAGGAGGGGTTGCTATGAGTCAGATCCGACTCGACGGCAGTGGGTTTATTCTCATTTTACAGAAGAAAACACCGAGGCACAGAGACGTTGTGACTTGTGTCTATGTTTATTGGTGGGCCTGGGACTAGAGCCTAAGGCTGCTGAATCTCAACCCAGTTATTCTTTCTACTGCCCTGACATTAACCTATCCTCCCTGGAGAGACCAGGTACACGCATGTGAAGCAGTGAGGGGAAATACCAGCTTGGCCCTGACAGAACGGGCAGTCCAGAAAACACACGGAGGCTTGGGAAGGAGGCGGGGGGAACTGCGTGGCCCAAGAGAGGAGTGAGCGGGCAGGACGGCCCAGGTGAGATGGGTGAAATTCTCCTGTCCCCTCCACAGACTGTCACAGCAAGATGGGCCACACGTGGCATGAAAGTGTAACAGCTGCCACTGCCAGCTCTCTTAGTGTCGGGTTTTGAAGCACTTTCCTGTAGGAGCAGAAGAGAATGTGTAACTGTCAGGAATGGCAAGAATGCAGCGGAGACAAAGCCCTAAACCCACAAGGCTCTCCGCCTGAGTGCCAGCCTGTTGGTTGCATCTGCAGTGGCCCCAGTCCCTTGCACACCAGTTGTTTGGGACTTGAGGTTTCTTCCCTTCATGGCCCCTTTGGTGACGTGTGATGAGTCTGGCAGGTCACAGCCCCTTCTGAGGGAACTTAGGGGCCTGGGGATCAGACTCCCCACACGAAAGCCCCCATGCCTTTCACTTCTGCCCAATAGATGCTTCTCTGGGAACCATTTGGTGATGCAGGGGTGACATTTTCCATGACAGGGTCAGTAGCTCCCAGTCGGGGAAGCAAAGGGTGGCTCAGGGCACCCACTGCTTGGGATTTTAGCTCGTTTTTCTTGTAGGAGAGGGAATCCGTTTGGCACTTCCAGAAGTTACTGACTTTAGTTACTACACCCTTGCGTGGGGTTGATGGGCCAGGTCATCAGCTGTCCGAGGTCACGGGGTCCATGGTCTTCTTGACTAGTGTTTATAGGTGTGGAAGGGCGTCACGCAGAAACTCTCCCCCGGCGCTGCCACTGTCCCCTGCGTAGCGAACTACCCGCCCAGCTGTCCCGTCCTCTTCCACTTCTGGGCTGGCCTCCAAATATAAAATCCTTTATTTTAAGAAGCCCATAGCAAAATAAATGTTTAAGGTATGTAATTGTGATTCCATTAAAAACTGCCCCTGTTCTTTGGGGCACGCATTCTGAGCATGGAGGGGCAGGGCATAGTGCTCACGTTTGCTTTCAAGTTCTTTTGCTTTTACAGCAGAGGGGAGGGGGTGGTGAAGTGAACCGTGCTGGTGGTGAAGGGGGAGGGGCCCACGGGGCTCGACGGGGTGCCTGCCTGTGTGGGCGTTTGAGACCTTTCACAATAATGATGTGTTCAGCGTGTGTAGGGTTCTGCTGGAGACGTTCTGACTTTAATAGAACTTCTGGGTGCTCTTTTCCATGGCTGACGGCGGGGTTAGAGGTGCTGCATCTCTGACAGACACCTGGGGCTTGGCTCTTGGGTTTTTGCTCCTTGCCCTTCCTCGTGAAACCTGCTGTGCTGCTTGATGTAACGTTTTCTGACGGGCCACCCTCTCCAGAGGTTACCCGGTCTCGTGGTTCAGTTCTACAGAGGGTTGTTTTTTCTGTTTTATTTTTAATAAAAGTACTGTATAAATAGTGACATCAGCTTTGTTTTTCTTGGGCACACAGTGATTGAGCATCTATGTGTGAAGATAAACATGAGGAAAGGAATGATGTAGGGGAGCGGCCTGCTGCTTCCAAGATTCCATCCTGGAGACTGGAAGGCTGGCGCAGAGAAAGGGGTCAGCCGGTCTCTCACAGTGGGGGTGTCTGCTCCCCGACAGTCTTGCCCATCTTGGAACCCTATAATACCTGTATTCAGCCCATGACCCTTTATCTTCACCATATTTTTTCTCTCTGTGCTCAAGGTGGATCTTTAGTAATTAAACTTCCTCAGGGCAGAGGCGGGATCCCACAATCTGTACATGTGCCTGGGCTCTGATATAACAAGGGTGTCTGTCTATTGGTCTGTGTGTATCAGTTTATGGTATGTGTGTGTTCCTATGGGTATCTGTGTTTCTGTGTGTGCCTCCATGTGTGTGTCAGTGTATGCGATGTTTGTGTGTCTGCGTGTTCGTGTGTATCTGTGTGTGTTTGGCTTTGTGTATGTGTCTGTGTTTACATTCAGCAGACATGTATGACTTCTGAGCTGAGCTTTTTTTATTGGTTACAAGCGAGCCCACTGGAAACGGAGTAAATACAGAAAACTCAGATGGGTGGCCTGAGCACTGGGGTGGGTGCCAGATGTGGCCATGGAAAGCCATCACAGTCAGCTGTCCTGGAGCTGCCCACCGGCTGCCGACAAGGAGAGCAGGTGCTGGAGTGGCACAGGGAAGGTCAGTGGGGAGTGGAAGCGCCCTGCTCACGTGGGCAGCTCTGTTAGCTTCCTGCTCACATGGGCTTGCTCTGAGGAAGTACACGAATGGGGGCACGCGGTATAGTAAATTACATAGTGTGGTTTTTCTAGCTATACGTCTTTGTGAACTCTGTGGTGAAATTTGCCATGAGCCACTGAGTAGCTCCTGATTGTTAAAGTTGTCCACCTGGGGTAATTCTGTTGGGAAGGCCAGGAAGCAATCTTCCGGGAAGTTCTTTTTCTCTCAGGTATGTAGAACTCTGATGTTGGGATTGGTTGGTTTGGCCACTCTGCCAGGCTCAAAAGGAGCCCTCTTAGAGGCAGAAGGAATCTCTGACTGCCGGCTGAGAAAGACGTGCTGCTGAGAGAAATGCGTTCCTGAGAGACATGCACTTGCTGAGAGAGAGATGCGAGAGACACGCGCTGCTGAGAGACTGAGTGCATTTCTGAACTTGAATTGTAGTCTGGTGCTTCCCTAATAAATCCCATAGTCTGTGAATTCTGTGTGGCCACTATAGTGAATTATCAAACCCAGCAGAGAGGTGGTGGTTGCTGCAGGAGGAACGATTGGTGTCTGGCTTGGTGAAAGGGCTGGAGGGAGGTAGTATGTCTGGCCTTGCAGGAATAGGCCTTGGGCTGCTGATGGTGATTCTGTCTTCCTCTTGTGGGGTAGAGGAAGTCAGAAGATGCAGCCTCCTTGCCCCTTTAGCAGGGCATTAAAAGATGGAGTAAGAAGACGCGGCCTTACGAGACCAGCCAGCCCTCGTCACGGCATGCTGCGTGGGGCCACTCCCACACCTGCCTAGCTGACAGAAGCCAGGTCCTCTAGTGTCAGATCTTCGCCCTGCACTTGACCCTGCTGAGGTGTCTACCTTGACATAATCCCTTGACTGCAATGCCATCCTCACCTTCCAGAAAGTCTCCTGCTGGCAAGAGTTGTGCAATGTCTCTTACCCCATTGGCTGGGAGGTCTGGTGGGAGGAACACATGGCTTTACATTCAGGTTGGTTGGGGTCAAGACTGGATCTTCCACTGTTAGTCTTGTGTTGGGTCATCACCCATCTGTTTTCTGTATGAAGGAGTACTAGCCCCAGGCAGTGGGGAGGGGACCAGAGTCCTCTGGGGACGCTAGTGTGCATTGCCAGTGAGTCTTGTTCAGTTTCTTGTCTGCTGTGGGAGGGGGTATGGATTACTGCAGTCACTTTGGGAAGCAGTTTGACATTCATATATGCTATGGCCCAGTGGCTTGCACTCCTAGGTATATGCCCAGGAAAACGTCCTATGTGTGTAGATACCGGCAGACGGGAACAAAAATCTTCCCAGCATTTCTGGTCACAGTAGCAAAACTCTGGAAAGTGCCAAGATGCCCATCAGTAAGGGAATGGCTGGCTAGACCCAGGCACCGTCCCACAGTGGAGTATTACACAGCCGTCCAAACACATCAGCTTCAGCGGCCCTCAGCGAAGCAGTAAAAATCCTGTGTTCTCAAAGGTTGTTGCTGTTGTTGTTGTTATGTGCTGTTGAGTCGGACTCAACTCATAGCGACCCCTCCTTGGGTTGCTGAGGCAGTATGACTACGGAAGTAGATTGCCCCATCTTCCTCCCGAGGAGTGGCTGGTGGGTTTGAACCGCCAGCCTTCTGGTTAGCAGTCAAGTGTCTTAGACACTATGTTACCAGAGCGCCTAGTATAAAGTTGTAAGTAACTAATACCGACAGTACCATGGACTGCCAAAAGAATGAACAAATCTGTCCTGGAAGAGGTGCAGCCTTAATGCTCCTTGGAAGTGAGAATGGCCAGGCTTTGTCTCACCGACTTTGGTCATGTTGTCAGAAGGGACCATTCCCTGGAGAAGGATGTCGTGCTTGGTAAAGTGGAGGGTCAGTGAAAAAGGGGAGGACCCTCGGCGAGATGGACCGACACAGTGGCTGCAACAATGGGCTCAGCTATAACGAGGATCGTGAGGCTGGCTCAGGGCTGGGCAGTGTTCCATTCTGTTGTACACGGGGTCACTGTGAATCGGAGCCGCCTCAAGAAGAAGTACCTGACAGAAGTGTACTCTCTGGGAATATTTACAGACACAGGAGAACAGTGTTGACAGAAGAGCAGGGGCGTGTGCACTGCTGATTCGGGTTCAGGGGTCTTGGGTGGGAAGGGCAAGGTGGGGCGAGGGGCACCGTCTGGTTAGATGAAGCTCTTAGCATTTGTTTTGAGTGATGGGTTTGCAGGTGGTTGTGACAGTATGACAAGGGGCTAAATGACTGCAAGTGGGCCATGTGTACATCAAAGAGGATCATGCACCAAGGGTTACAGGGACTAGTTGACCAGCTTGGTGTGTGAGGTCCAGCAGTGCCTCCTCCATGTTAATGTTAGCCAAGGCTGTGGTAGCCCAGTGTTCACTGCATGGAATGGGGTCCTCGGACCAGCCTCGCTGTGGACTCTTCTCCATGTTGTCGTCCCTCCCCCACCTGCCACCCACCCTACTCACATCTAACTCCTCCACTGCCCTAGTGACCTCAGCCTGCCTATGGCTTTGTTCTTCCTTAATGACTTGTTTCCTATCTGTGTCACACAGTTAGTGCCTTGTTACGTCCATGGTCTCACCCACTAATCATTTCCTCATGTGTGTAAGGGAGAGGTTAATCTCTGCCAGGGCAGAGGTTGTGGTTTATCTCCTTTTTATGTAGCAGTTAGTGGCTGACTCTTGCCTGCTCTCTCCTCCTTCCTTAATAAAAGATGCCAGCTTCCCCTCAAGCTTGGCATAGCCATGTGGCCAGTGAAGTATAGTGGCCGTGGTGAATGGTACTTCTCTGAAGCCTTCTCCGTAGGAGCTCTGCCTTCCTCCTTCCTGCTGCCTGGAAGAAGGCACGATGGTTGGTGCCTTCACCTCCAGGGAAGGGCAGCAGGTGGAAGGTGTCCCTGGCCCCCTGACACCTGGGGGTGGTGGGCACTCTCAGAGCAGCTTCATTGGCCTGTGTTCCAGCAAACTTGAATCTCATGTGAGCCCACGGTGTTCAGTCACTCACATGTGAACGTGATTCTCTGTGGCTTATCTTGTAGTCCTCCCATGGTTCTTACTAGTGCTGTTCGGGGTATATAATGAAAGTGCTCTCGTGGTGCAGTGGCTAAGGCATTTGGCTACTAACCAGAAGGTCAACGGTTTGAACCCACCAGCTGCTCTGTGGGAGAAAGATGAGGAAGTCTGCTTCTGTAAAGATTTACCGCCTTAGAACACCTGTGGGGCAGCTCGACTGTGTCCTGTGGGGTCCCTGTGTGTCAGAATTGACTCGATGGCAGTGGCAGTGGTTGGGGGTATCATGAATCTCATGGACTTAAAACAGTAGCAGAATCTTGAATTGGCACCTGGACCCCTCGGGACCGTCTGTGTCCAGTGAGGGATCTGGAGTCTGAACCTAACATTGGCTCCCGCTCTCCACTCAGCTGTGTGTGGCCCTGGGCTGGTCACTGGGTCAGTGGGTGAGTCAGTATGCTGGTGACCCCAGAGTGAGCTACATGGTTTGTTGTTTTGTTCTGTGTGTGTTGGGCTGCACTACAGAGGGTCCCCACACCCACCGCTATCTGGAGTCCAGCCCCGTTCACAGGTGGACTGCCGACCCCCAGACAGGGCCTACCTGCCCCCGTTGCAGATGTCCAGGTCCGTCTTGGTCGCTGCGAGCCCTCCACTCTCTATAAGCCCAGGTGGACGGGTGGGGATGAGATGAACCTCTCCTTAGGCAGGGTGGCCATTCTGCAGGTTCTTCACCGGCGTGTGGGGGACACAGAGTGAGAGCCGCTCCCTGAGAGGGTGAGCGGCTGCCCTGCACGAGGGTGGGGTGAGTGTGCAGAGGGGCAGCCTGCACGGGCGCGTCTGGACCTCCTTTTCCTGGGTCTGAGCAGCTGGGAGAGTGGCAGTCTCTTTAGAAGGCTGGCATCTATAACGGATTGAGGAAGGAGCGCTGGTGGTGCAGTGATTTAAGGGCTTGGCTGCTAACTGTAAGGTCGGCGGTTCTTACCCACCAGTGGCTCCCCAGGAGAAAGACCTGGAGATCGGCTCCTGTAAAGGTTACAGCCTAGAAGAGCCTGTGGGGCGGTTCCACTCTGTCACCCGGGTGCTGTGAGTTGGAATTGACCCGATGGCACCCAGCAGCAGCAGCTGAAATAGCACGTAGATGCCAAGGGAAATTGCCAGGGAACCGGGGACGTCGGAGTACAGAAGCTGAGGGAGCTTCCTCCAGGGCCGACAGAGGACGGGCCTCCCCTGGCGGGGGAGCTGGTGCCCTGCGTTTGGGCTTCTGGCCTCCTGACTGTGAGGAAATAGGCTCCAGTCCTGTAGAGCCCCCCACTTGTGTACGTTACACAGCACCAGGCGGCTAAGCCGGGCTCGAACGCGGAGATGGGGCTGGCGGGAAGGCCTCTCGCACCTCAGCAGGCCTGCAATGTGCTGGCGGCAGGGTGGCAGGCCAGCTGACCCTCAGCCCGCCGTCCTGCTGCTGTCCCACCTCTGGGGCTCAGGCTGCTGGCTCCGCTGGCCGCGTGGCACCCGGGGGCCGGCCTCTGGGCCTCCAGCTCGAGGCCCACTCTCCTGTCTGCTCCACCTCCCACTTGAGCCAGCAGTTGGTTTCAGGATGAGGGGCCTGCATTTCCAGCACCCCCTCTCTCCTCTGCTTTCCCGCGGGAAGTGTTGATTCAGAGCCTCCTCATGTCCGACCCGGCCGCGTTCCTGAGAGCTCACTAGTGAGGTAGCTGGCAGACGTCCACCCTCGTAAGTCTGAGGCCACTTACCGCCACATCCCTGCCTCATAGCTGGAATGTGGCAGGTGCTCAGTGCGTACTTGAATGAACAAACAAACAGAGGAATTTAAAAGTGAGATGGTTTATGAGTTTACAAAGCCCAGAGGACTGTGGCCGAGTTGAGACAGATGCAAGGGTCCCCATCACGAGGCAGAATGCGGGTGCCCTGAGAGCATCCGTGGGTCTGTCAGAGCCTCTTGGAGAGCAGGACACGGCTCCCCAGGGGGAGGACCTCGCGTGCTTGCTGCCAGCCCTTCCTGGCATGGCCTTGAGTGGCCAGGGAAGCCTTCCTTCCACCCCAGCTCCTCAGGCCTCTCCACCTCCCAGCTCCGCGAGTCCCCTTTGCAGACCCATGCAGGGCTGTGCTGGGCGCTCCCTGTCTTCATGCCTTTTCTCGCTGGCTACACGATGAGCTAACTTCCGGGCTCGGAAGATCTGGGTTCCAGTGCCTGCTTGGTCAGTCACTAGCTGTGTGGCCCCTATCGGTTCTCAGTCTGTGTGTGTGTGAAATGGGCACCATAAAAGCATGTGCCCGTCTGAGCACGAGACCACGTGTGCAGAGTGAGGAGTGGTAGACCGGGGCAGGTGTTCTTCAGTGCCGCCTGATGAACAGAACCTCGCATGTAGGCAGGTGCTCAGTTAGCACGCGCCGTAGCTGCGGCCCTCGCTTCCTCTGGCTTGGCCTGGAAGAGTTTGCTGTGGGTCAGCAGTGCGTTAGGGAGCTCTGCCCTTCTCCTGAATGTGGGCACAGGAACAGCCAGTGAGGCATCCCTCTGTGCCTACAGTGTTGACTCTCAGCTGGCCCCTGGGGAAGCCCAAGCAGCTGGTCTGCTGGGTGATGCCTGCCTGGTGGTGCCAGGTGGTGGGGTGGGTCTGCATGCCTTAATTGCGAACGTTCTTTGATTCCGGTCTTGCCTTTTTCCCACCTTACCCGAGCTGGAGGGAAAGCATCCCTGCTGAAAAGAGAAAGGAAGGAGTGCAGGACGAGCTTATTAGCTTGTGGTCCTCAGAGCAGAGGGCCCAGGGATCTAATTGAAGGGCCTGCTTCCATCCTGCCCTTCAGGATCCAATTCCAGCTGTTCCCACTGTGAACACACACGCTAACCTTGAGGTGTATGGCCCTTCATTAGTTCATTTGGCAGAGGTTCACAGAGCCCCTCCTGGGTGCCAGGTCCCCACCCTCAGGCAGGGCTTTGAACTGGTTTGAAACAGTTTAGTCCTGTCCTTTGGAGCATATGTGTTGCATAGCAACCAGATCTCTTGCACATGGATTTTGACCCCAGTAGGAAACAGACAGTAGTGTCTCCCTCAAAGATGGCAGCCAACCACACTGCTCCGAATGTGTATTGGCCACCACCTTTGAGCAAGCCACTGCTGCCTGTTTCCTCCTTGGGTCAAAATCCCACCAAGAGACTTGGTTGCTGTGCAACGTGTATGCACCATTGGCCATGACGTCGGTCATGACGGAACCATTTCAACCCAGTTTGAAGCCCTGCTCGTCCTCAGGGCCCCGCAGCCTGGTGAGGAGACACCAGGCTGGC